TTCACAAGGCCCTCAGTCCTCCACTTCTCTCCAGGGGTGCAATTTCCGGCCTCCCCCATCCCCGCCCTGTACCCCTAAGTTAGGGTCTTTATCTCCACTAATTGGAAATGGGGAGCGCTTGGGGACAGTGATGATTTTTTGGGGGCAGGGGCAGAGATAGTGAAGTTCCGGGACCCTGGTGCTTTCTTGATTGGTGCAGCGCCCCTCTCTGCAGCCACTCTAGGGTCCCAGGGCCTGGGCAGTGAGCCAGGTGAACCGCCGGAATCCAGGCCTTCGCGTGGGCTCCGGGGCACCTGCAGCACACAGTTCTGGGGGTGTCTGGATGAGACCCTGCCCGGATTAACAGCGTTTGGGGGCGGCGACGGACACTTCTGGGGGCGCCAGTCGCCCAGGAGGCCGAGCCCAGAGTGTCCACGAATTGAGCCTCCATCTTCCAGCCCCGGGGGATGGGGGCGGGGTCAGGGATTGTGAACTTTAAACCCCCCCTTCCCCCCTCTCCCAAGCCGAGGGCCTCCACCGGGGCGCTCGCTGGGAGCTGTGATGCTGGAAGGAGCCTCAGGTCAGGAAGGAAACTCACAAACAGGACAGGAGCCAGAGCTAAAGAGACCTCCCTTGCCAGCAGGGCCGCCCCTCCGAGACTCGCCCAGGCTGATGGAAAGTCTTCCAAGGTAGCTCCCCGCACGAGTCCTTTTTGCGTGTTTCTACTTCACTTTCCCCTCCGAATTTATCCTAAGGCAACTCACATGCTTTTGTATTAAAGGATCTTTTATACACTTCTGTTCTACTTATCTGAAACTCTTCCTTGCCTTTTCTTATTGATTGATTGATTGATTGATTGATTGATTTATAAGACAAGGTCTCACTGTGTCACTCAGGCTGGAGTGCAGTGGCGCGATCTCAGCTCACTGCAGCCTCCACTCCCTGTGCTCAGGCGATCCTTCTGCCTCAGACTCCTAGAGCGTTGGGACTACAGGCCCACGCCACCAGCCTGGCTAATTGTTTTTTTTAATTTTTCGTAGAGACAGAGGGTCCTGCTATGTTGCCCAGGCTGATCTCCAACTCCTGGCCTCAACTCCTGCCTGGGCCTCCCAAAGTGCTGGGATTACAGGCGTTAGCCACCTTGCCTAGCGTCTCTTCTTTTTTATGTATACACACACATATATATTACACAGGTATTTATATACATACTTACTAAAACAGTTGATGAAACAACACTATCATTATCTTAAAATGGATCAATAAATGAATATTTTTAAATTCATGTTTGCAATGTTTCAAATTACATTTTTATGAAACGTAAGATCAAATTTTATTGTAAGTATACACTCTAATCAGATGGATGGACACAGTTAAGGGAATTGTTGGATATTTCCGTCATTGGTTGCCTGGGGCAATGTGCATTGTAAGTTTCAGGCAGATGAGATCTGCAGCTTGGGAGTAAGAAGGGTGAGAAGGGCCCTGGGGCATGGACTCCTTTGGAGACCTGTCCTCTGGCTGACTGATTTTGGGCATGAGAGAGGGTGAACTGTGAGGATCTGGAAATGGATTCCCTGAGACTCTCCAGATCCGCATAACCCCTGGAAAGTCTCTTCCTGCACATCTTGGGTCCCTGGTGCTCTAGCCACAAGCTTTTGTTCCACACCCCATTAGAGACGCTGATCACACTGGAGGGAGACACAGAGTCAGAGGCCAGCCTGGGAACGGGAGGCATAGGGCTCTCCTCACAGTCCAGAGATCTGCGTTTATTATGAAGTCTTAGGCTTTGGGCCAAGTTTAAAATTCAACAGAAAGCCCCACTGCAAAAGTCTATCATAAAACGGTTTGAAGACAGGCTCTCCTATGGATCTAAGATCCACCACTCTGACCATTCCCCTGTATCTTTCCTTTAATTTCCTGCTGTCTCTTGAGAATTAGTACTCTGTGTTCACTAGTGTTTGGATTATTGGACAGATATTGTGGCATCTCCTAGTTCTGTTTTGAGGCAGAGTCTCACTCTGTCGCTCAGGCTGGAGTGCAGTGGTGTGATCTTGGCTCACTGCAACCTCTATCTCCTGGGTTCAAGAGATTCTCCTGACTTAACCTCTTGAGTAGCTTGGATTACAGGTGCACACCACCATACTGGGCTAATTTTTGCATTTTCAGTAGAGATGGGGTTTCACCACGTTGGCCAGGCTGGTTTCGAACTTCTGGCCTTAAGTGATCCACCCACCTTGGCCTCCCAAAATGTTGGGATTACAAGCGTGAGCCACTGCACCTGGCCTAGTACCTTCTAGTTCTAATTAGGCTGCATCCATGAGGGTGGAAGAACTCTCCCTGGAAACAAGCAGTAATTAGGATGAGAAAAGTTGTATTTTATGGGGTTATGCAGTGGTGAGCTTTGTTTGATCGTTTAATGGAAAGAACATGGAAACTCATGCCCCCTAAAACGTTTATGTAATAGTTTCCCTGCACTGAATTTTTCTACATGAGACTTGGCCCATACAATTTAGAGTTGCTGTCCTATGCTTTTATGTTGCTTTCCCAGTTTCTCTATTTCCATCAGCAGCTGATATCTTTGTAGTTGCTCTAGAGCACAGGGCTCAGTCTTTTCAATCTTGTGGTCTCTTTACACTCTTAAGAATTATTGAGAACCACCAGGAAGTTTTGTGAATGTGGATGGGTTATATCTAGCTATATTTATATATTTTAAGTTAAGGCTAAGGAATTTAAAAATATTCATTTATTGATTCATTTTAAGATAGTGATGCACCTGTTTGATGCTAACACCAATAACTTATCTTTATGGAAAAAAAATCTGCATTATCCAAAACAACAACAAAATGAAAACAGCGCTTTATTTCACATTTTTGCAAATCTCTGTAATACCTGGTTGAAACGGAGACAGTGGGAGTCTCCTCACTGCTTCTGTGTTTGCAGAACCGCATCCCACACTCTTGGGAGCATGAGAATAAGAAGGACAAGTAACACTGAGGGCCATTAGAGACATGGTTTTGATCTCATGGACTCCCCTGAAAGGAATAGGAAGCCCTTAGGGGTCCCCTCCAAACAGTGAGAATGCTTGCCCCTGATCAAGGAAGCCAAGCTCCAAGGGTTGCTGGGGAGCTGGAGGAGGCGAGATGGGGCTGCAGGGAGGTTGTCACCAAAACCATGGTTGGGCTCCATTTACTTCACCCCAGGTGGCCCACTGAGCCCACATGGCCACCAGCGCAACTGAAGCAGACCCTGATAGAATCCTGTGTATAATTATTTTAGGATTCACCCATCTTGGCATGCACAAGGCATCTTAATTGAAGAATGTTTTCTAATAACAAAACATTGTAAACCTAAATATGTGGCAATAGTAAAGATTAAGTAAATTATGGTTTCCCGAAGCCCAGTGCTCTGCAGCCATCAAACAGAGAGTAAAAGCGAGAATGTACTGGGTGGAGATAGCCTCAGGATATTTAAAAGCAGAGAACACAAAATATAGAACTGTGTTGTGTATGTTATGATCTTTTTTCTGTGCTTTTGAAAAAGAGAATACACGTATAGCTGGAAAAGACACACCAAACCATGTAATTGGTTGTGTTTGGTAAGATGTATGCACTGAAGAGGAAGGGTTCAATTTTTTTTTTTTCTGAGACAGGCTGGAGTGCAGTGGCGCCATCTCAGCCCACTGCAGCCTCGACCGCCCCGGCTCAAGTGATCGTCCCACCTCAACTGTCCCAGTAGCTAGAACTACAGGCGCGCCACCATGCCTGGCTAATTTTTTTTAGAGATTGGTTCTCTCCAGGTGCCCCAGGCTGATTCTGAATTCCCGGGCTCAAGGGATCCTCCTGCTTCAGCTTCCCAAAGTGCGGGGATTACCGGCGTGAGCCACCGTGTCCCGCCTGTTTGCAATTTCTAACAGTTTTAAATCTCCTGGCAATGAGTAACGTTATAGTGCCCCAGGTGTTTGGTCCTTTAAGAAAAGGATGGCAGGACGGGTTATCTCGGTGGGAGCGTGTTCCACCTCTGCCCTCCGCCAGCCGCCCTCGCCCGGGCTGCACCCAGATATTTTCCTCGGGATGAATGAATGGCTCGCCCGCGGACACGCCAGCCCCGCCCCAGGAGCCCCGTTTCCGCCTCCCCTCCCCGCCCACTCCCTGGCGCCCTTCCTATTGGTTCCATGCCGCGCTTTCCCGTTCAATCGCAGCGCTTAGCGCCAGAATTTGAATCTCCGTTTTCGTTTGAATTGGGCGGGCGCGCCGGTTTGGAGGAAGGAAGTGGCGGGCGGACGCAGCGGGCGGGCGGGAGGACTCGGCGGGAGCCCCTAGAGCCGGGCGCCCGGGGACGTAACCTGTAGGGCCACCGGGTCCCCGTCAGGGGCGGCGGCGGGAGCAGCGGGGACTGCAGGCCGGGGCGGAGCGAGCGCGGCCCGGCGGGCTGCGGCCGGGTGTGTGCGGCGCGTGGCGGGCGCAGCTTACCAGGCGAAGGTGAGTGCGGCGCCGGCTCCTCCTGCGGCGGACTTTGGGTGCAACTTGACGAGTGGTGGTTTGACAAGTGGCCTTGGGGGCCGAATCGTCCCAGGTGAGCTGCGGCCGGGACGCCTGGGAGCTGTCCGAGGTCGAGGGCTGAGCCGCGGGGAACCCCGAGCTCTGCGGGGACGGGCAGGGGACGGACGCGCGGCCTGGGCCCGACTGCTCCTGGGCTCTGGCGAGGGCGTCTGGGTGGAAGCTCCCGGGAGGCGCAGGCGCTGGCGACAGCACTCCGGCCGCGGGACTTTGGGGCGCCAGGGGCTGCGGTCGGGTTGTGCTGGGGTCCCCGCTGGCTAGCTGCGGTGTGCGCCTGTGTGGCCGGGGATAGGTGGACTGGGCACGCGGCTCTTCTTAGCTCCTTTGCTATCAGAGTAACCCGCACCTCTTTTGCAGTGGAAGAGTTGTAAATTTGCTTCTGCAAACCTTTTGGTACCTGGCCTTCCCCTACGGATTATACTCAACTTCTTGTTTAGAAAATGGGGCCCACAAGACGCCTGGTTACTATCAAAAGGAGCGGGGTCGACGGTCCCCACTTTCCCCTGAGCCTCAGTACCTGCTTGTTTGGAAGGTGAGCCCCGCGGGCGCGCGCGGACATTTTAGCTGAGAAAGAGGAAAATATCTTGGTCACAGTACACGGTCCAGAAACGCGCTCTAGGATTGGGTCCTGCTGTCACTTTTCCTTGGTGCTTCTCCCATTCGTTACTAAGTTGACATAGTTGTGTTTTGTTTGTTTTGCCAAATATAAGTTTGATGCTAGTGTTTGTATGTTTAAGTGGTTTTAAAAATCAAGCCAATTTAAAAAATCGATTTTCTAATCTTGCGATAAAGATGTAGATGATCTTCATACCTCACTGGCTTCAGGCAGGCGTCTGAAGACACTGTGTGCCCCCGGGTCCCTCCACAGTGGACATCACTGGCCACTGGGGACCCTGAGAGAATGGAGGAAGGAAGCCATACACTTGCCTCTTGGCTCTTTGCAGCAATAGGAAAATGGGACAGAAAGTCTTCCTGCTTGGAATTTGAGAACTTTTCCTCTTATGTTGCTGTCCCATTTGGTGGTGGTAATAACACTGTCCCTGTATAACAGGCAAAATGCTAACAATGCCCCTATCAGCCTCTGACTTGTGTCCCACTAGAGGTCTGAGACGGGGTCACTTCCTGTGTGGTCTGGGCCCTGAATCCCATCCCGGCCTCACCCCATCCTCCCAATCCCATCCCTACCTTGTTCCTCCCGCCTAAGGCATTCCAAGCCCTTGTTCACCTTGGTTACTTCTTACACACTTGGAAGTTTATGATGGGAAAGTTCTCCCCTTCCCCAAACTTGTGTGATTTCCATCATTCAGGCATCAGGTGAAATGTCACCTCCGAGGAAGCCTTGCATGAAAACTTGTGTTTCCCATCCCACAGCTTCATGGGTGAGTTGTGGGTTTGTCTCCCACTAGGCTGAGCTCCCCAAAGGCAAGGACTGTCTTGTTACTACACAGGGGGTGTGATCAATACCTAGCATTCTGGCAAGGGTCAGTAGAAACACCAGCTGGAGCCACCGATTTGCAATCGCTTGAGGGCAGTGGTTCTCACAGGAGGGTCATCTTACCTTCCAGGAGTCATTTGAATTTCCATGTCACAATACAGGAGAGGGACATGCACTGTCATCGCGAAGGAGAGGTCAGGGTGGACAACCTACCAGGCTCAGGGCAGCCCCCACAATACAGAAGCATCTGACCCAAGATGTCAACAGTGCCAAATCTCAGAAACACCCATCCACCCATAGTCGTCCTCCTGCCAAACAAATTCTCAGTTGTAGGGGATAGTCTCTCCTTTGCTCAGATGTCCTGTTACCTTAAAGTCAAATTATTTTATTTGGGGTTAAGGTAGCTTTTCACTTTCCATGCATACCTTTCTCTTAAAAAGGAAAAATACAAACATTTCATCTCAAGTGGCAGTCCTTTTGCTTTTCATACAGTAGTCCTTGAATATATTTTCATGCAAGATTTTATAATTTAGAAACTAATTCCTAAGTGGTCACATGACCTGGGTAGGATGAGAGATTCTTAGACGCCAAAGGTTCACATGGAGAACAGACAGGCCATTCCATAATTTGTTCAAATTTTTAAGATCACGGGCTAGAACAGGCACACTGAAGACTCTAGGAACCTACTAATGAACTGTTCTGATTATTAGTTTGTGTAGGTTTAGGAACTGTCTCTTCCGCTACTTTGCTGTGGTGTTAGCTTTCTGTGGAAAAACAAGTTGAATTTAGATTTTTTTTGTTGCACGCAAGTTAGTGTTTTTATTTAGAGACTTTTGAATCTGTCCGTAAATTCAGTGTAGTTTTAAAACAACAATGAAAAGCTCACCCATAATGAGCATCTACTATGTGCTAGGCAAATAAGTGACATGTACAACCATTTAATTGTTTGAACATCACATGATGTAGCCATTTAATTGTCTGAACATCACATGATGTAATCTCTTTATTGTATATGAAGAAACTGATGCACAAAAGTGCTAGCATAAAATAAGCACATTTGGGGATGATTAAACCTCTAAACATATTTAACATTACAAACAAACGTTTTTGAGAAAGCACAGAGTATTAAAAAATAGTCATTTTCCAAAATTGATGTAAGTACTCCTTTATTTGTGTCTTTTAAGTATAGCTTTTTATATAAAAGGTAATTCAATTTGTATTCTAGTGTTTTCCCTTATTTTCATGTACTCTCTGTTTTAAAGATCTAATAGTTACATAATTAATACTTCCAAAAGTTCTTTGCAAAATGCAAGATCGTTTACATTGCCCATTTTGTTACTCCTTTATGTCAATTATGTTTACAGATCAAACATTCTAGTCAAATTGTGTTTTATTTTGGGAAACTGAGGTAATGTTTTAAAAAGTTACAACAACCAAAAAAACCTTCTTCTTTTGCATGAAGGGGTATTGAATGTGATATCCGTATCCAGCTTCCTGTTGTGTCAAAGCAACACTGCAAAATTGAAATCACTGAGCAGGAGGTGAGTGGTTTTTTGGAAATCTACTTTTAAAGCTTTTAGTTCACTTTCAATCTGTTCATTAGTTACATATTTTCCCCTTCTTTTCACTTGCAGGCAATATTACATAATTTCAGTTCCACAAATCCAACACAAGTAAATGGGTCTGTTATTGATGAGCCTGTACAGCTAAAACATGGAGATGTAATAACTATTATTGATCGATCTTTCAGGTAGGTAAAAGCTGATTGGTCTAACAGTAAATGTCATCTTCTGATTAACCCTAAACTAGTGTCGTAGTCAACTGTCATTCTTCTTTAATGTTCATGGATGTCAAAGTATTTCAGGTTTTCATTCTCAACACTAATCTTAATTTAAGAGGATATGGATCTAGGAAGATGACTAATTGGGACAAAATGTGATGGAATTCAAGGATTTGGGTGCAAATAATTATGCAGAGGAAGGTTGACCTTGTCCTAAAGGAGTTTGTTATTTTCTTCCGAGTGTTGTGAAACTGCATGAGATTTTTCTATTCTTTTTTATTTTAAAGCAAAATACACTCAGAGAAAAAGGTACAAAACAAGATGGACAGGTCAATTTATCATGCGAACACCCTTTTGATCACTACCTATTATAATAGGACTGATTTGTGCTCTCCCAAAATTTATATTTTGAATTCTTAACCCCTCGTACCTTAGGCTGTATTTGGAAAGAGGGCATTTAAAAAGGCAATGAAGGCTTTTTGAGGCCGTTAGTATGGGCCCTAATCTGATGATTGGTGTCGTTATGAGAGGAGATTAGGGAACACATGCACAGAGGAAAGCCCACGAGAAGAAGCAGCAAGAAGGCAGCCATCTGCAAGTCAAGGAGAGAGGCACAGAGAAGTCCAATTCAGCTGACACCTTGCTCTCGGACTTCTGGCCTCCAGCACTGAGAAGGGCATGTCTGTTGTTCAAGGCGTTCAGTCTGTGGGACTTTATTATGGTGGCCCTAGCAGACTAATATACCACCAGCTTATATAGAACATTTCCAGAAGCATTTTAAAATGCTGTTTTCTAATCACGACTTCCTTCCCTCAGCAAGTAGACCATCATTTTGGCTTTCAGGATATCAAATGTCTCGAATTTCACTGCCTAAGCATGGATCTCTGAACACACTACAGTTTTGTCTGTTCTTATGAAAGTCCTTAACAGTGATATAAGAATGTATACATTTGTGCCTGGCTTGTGCTTTTATGTGTGTGAGATTCATAGCATGTTGGGCATCTCTGTAGTTTGTTCCTTCTCATGGCATAAGTATTTCACTGAAAAAAATATGTTTAATATATACAATAATATACATAACTATACAGAGTTCGTTTATTCTTGATGGACATTTGATTAATGTTCAGTCTTTGAAATGTGTCAGGGTTTGCTTTATGAGCAGATACGGTTAATTATTTCACTAATCTGCCTTGTGTAATTGAAAACTGTATTCTACAGTGTCTCAGATATTTCATTTATATACGTGTGTGTATATATATATACACACACACAGATACACACACTCCCGTTAGATTCAAATCTTCTATATTCTAATAAATTTTTCCCTACTATTATTCTAAGAGATATGTTCAAATCACCTTCTGGGGATTGATTGATTGATTTGTTTTTATCTCTTGTCAGTTTTTGCTTTGTATATTTTGAGGCTGTACTATGGTGTACAAACTTACAATTATGTCTTCTTGGTGCATGGAACTCTTTGTCATTTAGAGATGTCCTCTTTTTAGCAATGCTTTCTTTTCTGCTTAATGTTTCCTTTGGATGATGAATATGGCTAAACTAATTTCCTTTTGGTTAGTGCTTGTGTAGTGTAACTTTTCCCACCCCCTTAATTTTAACTTTTCATAATTATTATGGTTTATTTTAAGTTGTCTCTTGGAACCTGTTGTCAGATGAACTCTCGTGTTTAACTGGAATATCTTCTTGCTGGATTGATCCTTATGTAAAATGTCCTTTTTCTCTATGAATAATTTTTGTCTGAGGTGATTTTGTGTCATGTTAGTACAGCACT